GCATATATATACAGTCACCGGAACAAATGCCCGGACGGATGGATAGGCGTCCGAGTACTTTTGTCAGGGGACTGTATATATATCGATAGAGCTGATACTTAGCAACCGCTTGATCTCCCCACCAACTCCATCAAATTGACCATCTCCCCCAACGTGTGCAAAATCCTTCATTTTGGCCTATCCAACGATCTCACTCATCGATGGGATGAACACACCAGTCGGTTGGGTTCGGGCCTTTGGCACCCTTTCGGACTCGAACTCGGTTTCGATGGATATCGGCACGTCGCAGGTTTGACGGGTGATCGCTCTTTCCACCAAGAGAAATGTGTTCCGGATCAAATGTCTACCGATGATAACGTTAACATCATCACGGATCAAGTCCAAATCTTCGACAGAGGAAAAAGGGGACAAGTGTTCCCAGATGATATTCCCACCGATAATAGAGGAAGAACATCTACGTATGATGTACATCCCAAACAGCGGGAAAGATCTTACGATCAAATCGTCACCCATCATCCCGCTTCCAATCTTTCCCATCCGACAAATGATGGTGAGTCTCCCTCGACCATATGACACAGCTCTACTGACTCGGCAGTATGTCTCGAAACGTACGTCGATTCGGGTAGGTTGTGCGATACGTTCCGGGCTTCGTTCAGGGGTGACAAGGTCATTGTCAAGTTGATCGACTTGTCTTCTTATCCCTCTATCACGGCAGACGACTTGTCTCGTTCCTCTACCGATTCGTCTCCGAGACGTTCCTCTATGACCACCTCTGATGTCGGTAAAACACCTCTGTCGAACCTTGACGTTGAATCATCATCATCGTCGAGAACGTACTCGAGACGAGATGCCGAAGAAGCTATACTCTCAACCATAGCCTTATACACCGGACCGTTACGTGAATTACAATCCCGACAGGTACCTTTGTTTCTGGGTGCTTGGAAGTTGAACGGATGTCCGGATGTTGTGTTGATGATGGAGAGTGATGCGGGGGAGAAGAGGAGTGTTTCTTTGTCAGTCTGTCTTTTTCTGTTCTTCGCTGTCGTCGTTGTCGTCTTTCTTCTTCCTTTTCTTTTCTTCGCTGTCATCGTCGTCGTCGTCGTCGTCGTCTTTGTTATCTCTTCTTTACTGTCGCTGTCGTCGTCTTTATTATTTCTCTTCTGGCGGTCACTCACATATCATCCATCGAAAACTCCGAGTCGGTCCTCCCTCTTCCTTCTCTGACTCGTCGACTCGTCCCCTGATTCTCACATGCAAGTGGTACCGTCCCCCTCTGTCTCCGATCCAAGTCTAGTCATCCTAGCACTTCCCTCTCGATCCCTCTCTGTTCCATCCTTGGCGCCTTGCTCGTGTCGACCATTTTCCTTTAGTTTCCGTTTTCTCCTAAACCCGACTTGTACCCTGCTCTAACAGTCTCACACCTTTCACCTCGACTCGTCTCCATCTTGATCATCCACAGACAACTGGCTCACACTTTCCGACTCGCTCGACTGGAAAAAAACCGCTGGCCATGACCATTGTGAATTCATTTGGAGAGCGCTGACCATGACCCTTATCAATCACCTTGTAAGACCGCTGACCATCGCCCAGATCCACCGCTTTCAACCTCTACACAGCCCTCCATTCCGTCGGTGTGATACATAACGACGTCGCCCGTCGCCATGTCCTGATCGATTCAGAGGGTACGGCAAGATTGATCGATTTCGACCTTTCGTTTGCGGATGCGACGGAGAGGAAAAGGGGCGGGAGATGAGGGATGTCGTGCGTGTTTTCGGTCAGTAGCACCCTCTCCCCCCTCCACCCTCCGGTGGGTTTGGGTATCCCCGGGATCGATCATATGCATACGATAATTGTTCCTTTCCTTTCTTCAGATGATTCGGTACTTGATACTTTAGTAAACGCCATTTGCGATCCCTTCCCATTCTCCGTCTTTTTTTTTCTCTCTGACACTTGGGCCAATGGTGAAAAACAGAGGTACCTTAAGGACCCGAACGACTTTTTTCCCGGGCAGGGCGAAAAAAAAAAAAAAAGACTGACCAGGTCAAAATGACATGACCCCACAAGGTTTGGATCGTCGTCGTTAAGTCCTGCCCCATCTAAATGATCGATGCATGTGTATTGACCAGAGCTACATAAAGATCATAGAGGACTCGGGGATCTGACCGTGTTCCGTCCTTTCCTGAACCCCACTGTAGATCCTGACATTTGTCTCTTTGGTTTCCTCTCTTTCCCCACTTCCACATGCGTCCATGGATGGGATGGTCGGCGTTCGGTCCCATACGTATTCCTGGTGTGTGTGCGTGAGTGTAAATGATGTGTATCATGATACCTGAGTGAGTGTGTGGGTGAGTGAGTCGAGTTTGTAAACAATCTCAACCCCCCTAACCTCCTAACCCTCTATGACCCTACATAACGTCCATATCTCCCTCACCCCCTAGCCTCCTTAACCCCTAACCTTATAACCCCCTAACCTCTTAACCCCCTAACCTCCTAACTGTCACCCTCATCATGTTTTTTGTTTTTTTTTTTTCAATCTGGATCGGGATATGAGATATGCGATCAGAATGGAATTTTCAGATTGAACCGAGATTAAGCTTTGGACGGAGATGAGATCAGGCTTGGGTTGGAATCTTCAAGTTGAGGAGAGAGATGAGATCAGGCTGAGGAAATTTTAGGTTGGATTGAGCGATGAGATATGAGATCAGGCTCGGGTTGGAACCTGTAGATTGGATCGAGATATGAGAGATGAGATCAGGGTGGAATCTTCGATTTGGATCGAGATATGAGATCAGGTTGAGATGTTTCAGATTGGATCGAGCTATGAGATATGAGGTCAGGTTGGAATCTTTTAGATTGGACAGAGAGATGAGATCAGTTCAGGCCCAGGTTCCAATGATGAACTTGCAAGGTGTGGAAATGAAAAGTGGTCTTTTCCAACGGTTATGCCACGCACGGGTTAGGCATCGGCATCGGCCATCAGACAAAAACTACATGAAATCAAACTCACTTTCCCAATCAAGTGTTATTGAGTGATATTGTCATCAACCTTGTGATATACATAATCTTTCCCGACATTCTTGGATCTTTACAAGGATCTATCCTTTCCTCTCTCTCCATCTTCATCGTTATCATCACGGTCGTCAGTCTCGTCAGTCTCGTCGGTAGGTCTTGTCTATCTCTGACTGGTTTTAGATATCTTTATGAAACCACGTTTCATCTTCTTCCATTCCTTCCACACTCTCATCGACCTCATCGTCTTCTTCTTCGACAATCTCACCAACCTCACCTCATCTATCAAGCCTCCTCCAGGATCTGACCTGACCTGACCTGGCGCTGTTTCTACTGGCGGACATGGTTACATATCATCCATCAGCGGGACACAGTTAGACACGTTTCTTCAGGATGAAAACCAACAACACAGACGCAATTCCGTCATCTCCACCAGCGGACATGGTTAGACATCATTCATCTTCACTAGCGGACATACACACGGTTAGACATCATTCATCTTCACTAGCGGACATACACACGTTTTGACATTTGGGTCCTGACACTAACCCCCTAACCCTCTATCACCCTACATAACATTCATATCTCCCTTACCCCCTAACCTCCTTACCCCCTGACCTTCTTACCCCCTAACCTCTTAACTGTCACCATCATGTTTTTTTTTTTTTTTCGATTGGATCGAGATGAGATCAGGCTCGGGGTTGGAATTCTTGGGTTGGATTGAGAGATGAGATGAGATCAGGCTCAGTTCGGAATGACCCAAGTGGAAGGTGTTGAATTGAAAAGTGGGAGATGGGGTCTTTGTCCTTTGTCCTGAACGGTTACGCCACGCACGGATTAGGCATTGGGCATCGGGCATCAGGCATCAGATTCAGGTTGAGACAAATTACATGTACATGTACTCAAAACTCACTTTCCAATCGAGTGTCACTGTATCGATATTGATATTGAAATCGGATCTCGTCCGTGCGGTGGTTCCATCTACAAAGAATTCATCACTCATCTCCATATCTACATCATCTCCCTCGAAGCAAAAGCAAAAAAAAATCCATCGTGAGATAATCTCCCTTCGAAGCCAAAAGCAAGAGAAAGATCCATCGCGCGAGACTCGTCCCGCCATCTTGGTCATCGGTGGGATATACACAAAGGAATTAATTCATCAATCCATATCTACATGATCATAATCCCCCTCGATATCTACATAATCTCCCTCGAGCCAATGGAAAGATCCATTCTCCATCGTGAGACTCGTCCCTTGCATCTTGTCCATCGGCGGGATCGGTGGGATATTCACAATGGAATTAATTCATCGTTCATCTACAGAACCTCCCTCGATATCTACAAAACCTCCCTCGATATCTACAGAACCTCCCTCGATACCTACAAGCTCCCCCCCCCGAATTAAAAGCAAAAGCGAAAGTAAAGGAAAGATCCATCGTTCATCCCCTTGACCCTTGCCCTCGACCCTTGACCCTTGACACTTGGCGCTTGACTCTTGACACTTGACACTTGCTTGACACTTGACACTTGACCCTTCGTTCATCATTTTCCAATCCCCACCGTCCCATTCGTTCTTCCCCTTACTCCGCCATCACTCTCCCCTGGCCCCTCCACTCATTTCCCGGTCCCCTTACTCCCCTCTCCCGCTCCCCCGGCTGCCGCCCGCGCGGCCAGCTTGATCTTCAACTCGCGCATCATCTTGCTCCAATGAGTTTCGGGAGTGATCGGACGAGGGTGGTGCCGCCGCCGCCGGTGGTGGTGGTGGTGGTGGTGGGGGAGCCGACCCAACTTGGGGTGTAAACTCCTCGTGGTGTGGTGTAGACTTGACTTGTGGTGTAGACTCGACTTGAGGTTGTGGAGCCGGAACGGGTTGAGGTGGAGCTGAGTGGAGTTGAGGTTGTGTAGACGGAAGGAGTTGTGGTAGAAGTTTAGACTCGAGTGGAGGGGCCAGATGAAAGTTCATATTCACCGTCAAGTGGTTGATCGACATCTGACCGTTACCGTTGTTCTGGATCGTGGGCGTGGACGTGGACGTGGTGTCGATGGGATTGACGAGGTTCAGGTTAGGATGGACGAGGTTCAGATTGGAATCGATAATGGCGTTGGAGTTGGAGTTGAATAGGTTCAGATTGGAATAGGAATCGACTTTGGACTTGGAGCTGGTGTTGGCGTTGGACTTGGAGTTGGAAATGGATAGGTTCAGATCGACGTCGGAGCTGGAGTTGGAATTGGAACGGGAGTTGAAACTGGAAGTAGAAAGGTTCAGATCGGGTATCAACGAGTTGATCGATATGAGGGAGTCTCCTTCGTCGTCTTTGGGGTTGGTGTGGGGGTGGAAGTCTGGAAATGAGCGGCGGTCCTCTCTTTCTCTTTCTCTCTCTCTCTCTCTACCTCTCTGGCTTTTTCTCTCTCTCTCTGGCTCTGCCTCTGCGGTGGGAAGGAGTCTCAAGATGTGCACGCTCGTCTGTCGGGCTTGAAAGTAAAGAAAAGGAGAGTCAGAGAAGTGTACGTTTGTCGGGAAACAAGTGTAAAGAGGAAAGAAGAGGAAAGGAGAGAGGTAGAGTTACATACCATGGAACGGGCCATTGCCAAGTGGGACCTCTCCCTGAGAACGGTCATTGTAATCACCCTGGGAAAGATAAACGTTATTGAAACCATGACTGTAATTGGAATTGTAATCGTCATTGGAATTGTAATTGTGATTAGAGTAAGAGGTAGAGTCGCACTCGTCCAAGTCGATCAAGGAGTGAACAGGCGAAAGAGGAGCAAGAGGGGGGAAGAGTTTGAATTCCCAGAGATGGGTGAAGACGTAGGAGCCGTCCGGGGGTGGGGAACCGCATTGGCGTGGGGAGGAAGCCAACTTTGCGCACAATACCAAATCTCTTCACGCACAACACTGTCACGTGACTGGTTGATAGGCATGCATACATGTTGTTAGGCGTGCATACCACGTGACCCGCACGGGCCTCCCTTCCAACCTCTCTGTCCTCTGGTCAAAGTGAGTGAACCGTAAAAATTGATAAGTCCATGTTGTATGCATAAAATCAACCAGATTCTTTTATAGACATGTGGAGCACTTCCTCCTCTATCTGTCAGTAAAGATTTCACACTGAAATCCAGAAAACTCACTGAGATACATTGATCTACCTTCCACCCCCCTGTCCACCGGTTGAATCCTGTTGTCCTGGCCTATACTCAGCAGGGGGGAATTCCTGTCTCATACCACCGTGCCTGGCCTCTAGGACGCTCCTTTCTGCAAAGTTTGAGCCATTTCCAAGCCCTTCTTGAACATACGGCGAAGGGTACACGGGTGGATAAAAGGTAGGTGGAAAATTCGAATAATTCGACACAGGAGGGTACATAGGTGGCCTCTGGTACCAATTAGAGGGGCCAGGGGCTCCTGGTATGAAGTGGGGAGAAGGGTGGAAGGGATAACGATGATATTGAGGTATTACCTGCATAAATCAGCTGAGAACTTTCATAGATCGACCAGGAGAAGTGAGGGAAGAGATTCCAATGAAATGCGTACTGGTGGAAGTGTCCCGGCCATCTCAGAGGCCGTCCTGGCCATCTCTGCAGGCCTCTGTGTCATCACAGAGGCTGATCCCATCATCACCAGAGGCCTCTCCACCATACTTTCTGCATTTCCTTCTCTCTCTGCTTGAAATCGAGCTAATAACTCTTGTTCTCTCGCGGCCACTGCTTTTTTTGCTGCACACATGTAGGTAATCGCATGTCGCTTGGTACACAGGTCACATTTAGGGGGGAGAGGGCGTGAAGGAGCAGATTGTTCGCTTTGTGAGAGAACTCGACCAGTACTTGCTTGAGGAGGGCGATTACTTGACGATTTTGAGATATTCGAACCTGAAGAGGGAGGCCTCTGAGGTGGATTTCTTGAATACATTGGTGTAGGTCAAACCACTGCTATTCCTTGAGAAGCAAGAGAAGATTGGGAAGCTGCAGCCTGTGTAGCAGACGCTCGAATGGCCATCCTCGCACGGAGACCAAGATTAACAGGGGGATCAAGTATGAAATCGCGGGAACCGTTAACGACCTCGAATTCGTCTTCAAGTCGATGAACTCCAATGGCCCGAAGAGCAGTCGGTTGTACTCTGCTATTGGTATCTTCAAGATGTTTATCAAATCCATCATGAGGGAGAAGTCGCCAGTGGTGATGTATTTGGTTGATAGTCAATACCCCGTCATTTCTCATGATATTCGTCATCATATGAGCACAGGGGAGACCCATTGAAGCTAGAAATCGTCCTGAGCAATTGTGTATTCGGTCAGGCTGACCTAGAAGCTTAGTTGCAAGTCGAATTTGATTCTCCAGGGCCTCAGCAGCAAATTTTGAGATGTCTCGGTTGATAATACTCAGCATTCGATCCCCCAACGCTGTTCGTATTGTCTGTTGACCATTTTTCAATGTAATACTGTCCCACTGTCTCTCCAGGAAGCGATCTAGCTGAGGAATTACTTGCCAGAGGGTTCCTGTATGACTTTTCAAGAAATCCTTGAAGGAACGATGTTCTCCTAAGATCTTATTTTCCTCTCCCTCAAAACAATTCTTTTTGTCACAGGCGTGTTTGATATTCTCTCGCAGATGCCATGTGCAGTACTGCTGTTTCGCATTTGGTAGGTATTTTTGAAGAGCGTTGGCTAAGGCTACCTCACGATCGGTTATTACCACTTGAATTCGATGTTTTAAGGGACCTATCAAGTCGAGAAAACTCTTTCTCGCGACCCCGTACCAATCTGTAGTCTCGCGATTGATAAAAGCAATGGCCGCAGTAAAGGTGAGGTTGGTTGCTGTCATTCCTGTGATGTGGAGCATTGGAAGGCGATATCGGTTGGTGTTATAAGTGCAGTCCATCATGAGAACAGTGGGATAAAGATGAACCAAAGCTCTTGCTTTATGAGTCGTATAAATGAGACCAAGAGCTTCGTTTTTCGAATTAATCAGGCCTTTGAAGAGACGTTTTTCCCTTTCAAGATGTAAAAACAAACTTTTGGTCACTGTTCGTCCACTCATTCGGTTCTTCTCATACCTCCACTTGAAGTTTGACACATCGACAGGGGTCAGGAGGGGTTGATCGGGGTGTTCCTTGAGTAAATCGATGATCTGGTGGACAGAGAACCCTTTATCAATGTATTCCTGTAAAAGGGAAGTGATCTGAGGGGTTCGCGAGTGTTTTCGAAGGTGTGAGATAAGCAAACTTTTGACAGGAGGGTGGTTATGATCATTACACATCGTATGAAGCAGTACTGGTCGAAATCCATCTGCAAGGGCGTCTTCCTCTGTCACCCGTGAGAGTTTAAGTCGAAATGGACACCCTAGTCGCTGGGTGTGAGGCTGACGAGCTCGAACCTTGTCATATTGAGCAGAACGACCAGATCGATATTGACCTCCAAAGACACAGTTTATTGTCATGTACTGACGCTTTTGATTGCTTGAGTCGGTTACTAAAGCAAATCCTTTGTTTCTGACGATAATATCAAGTTTATCACGAGCAGAATTGATAGATGTTTGAGGGGGGAGTGATAGGGGAGCATGATGAAGTGTGGGGACACGAGTATGTGGCCCAAATTCGTCTTCTTCGATATCTTCAATATTGGGGTCAAACCCGGGGTTTTTTTCACTGTTTGCTCCTGAAAGAGGTGAGGGAGGGGCAAAAAAGTCGTCTGCAGTATCGGCAAAGGGAGAAACTGAGTGTATGTCGCGTAATGGTGTTGATAAACCAGAGGGAGAGGGAAATGGCGAATTATCTTGCTGAGTCTCTGGTATAATGATCTCGGACAGAGTAGACGGGGTTTCTTCCTTTATGAGTGGTGAGAGAGATGGGGGGAGAGGTGGGAGTGACCACTCATCACTTGAAGAGTCACAGAGGTCGATTGGTTGAGAGGATGACATGATATTAAGAGAGATAGAGGACTAAAAGGATCAGTTTCCCTCTGAGGAGAAGTATAGAAGGAGGTATGTACCAGATTGTGGTTATCACAAGGTATTTTGGTCAGGAAAAGTAGCAGAAGGGGGTAATGGAGTGTGCTGAGAACAATGAAAAAGAGTTTAGGACCGTAGCTTGTCTCCTGTGGGCTAGAGAGAGTAACGATGTTGATTGGTGTTGATTGATGTTGAATGAAAGTATGAGAAGAGTTGAAACTGAGGCCCGTGCGGGTCACGTGGTATGCACGCCTAACAACATGTATGCATGCCTATCAACCAGTCACGTGACAGTGTTGTGCGTGAAGAGATTTGGTGTTGTGCGCAAAGTTGGCTTCCTTCATCACCAACTTTACATGCTTTTCCATTGAAAACCACTCTTTCGCCACTCGGTCACCACCATATGACCTTAGGAGGTCCATCAAGGCCCAAAAGGCCTCTCCCTTCTCCTGTAGATCTCACCACCCCGACTCCTCCTAAACAAACAGGTCCATTGGATCAATACTTTCTCTTCAAACCGGGACCGTCACCTTCCAAGCCTGCCGATCACAAGGGAAAGGGGCGTGTTATCGACCTGACAAGCGATACGAGCTCAAACAGTTCAAAATTATCCAAGGCTGCAAGTACGCGTAGTGCAAGTGACGAAGATCTTCCCTCCGTATACGATCAACTCGTCAAAAGTTGGTCTCAACAAGGTATAGCTCATAGTCTCAAGACTAAAGTTTCTCAGACTCAACCATCTTCTCAAGCTCAATCTTACCCTCATGGTAGCAAGTTGAAGACTGAACCTATATCTCCGATAACCAAACGACATAAGAATAGACCTGCAACCTCTCAAAACTTCGTCGCTTCATCATCTTTGACATCAGACCTTCCAAGGAAAGCGAAGATATACCCTTTGAAAGGACACGGTACCTTCCACGATCCTCTGGAAATACTTTCTAGCGAAGGATCATCTTCATCTGGAACTCCGAGAGAACCTCTTATAACTCTTCCGAATCCTCGGAAACCATCCTCCGTCCCCGTTTCCTCAATTTCAGTCCCGCCAGCGAGACCACCGACCAAGGATTTACACGAAAATTCAGCTCTAGTCTCCCAGGTTTCTCTTCCTCTCCTCTCTGATATCACCTCTGTCCCCATTACTGCCAGCCCGTTAAAGTCACGTCCAGGTCGGGGCGCTTTTGGAAGTCACGTCAAACGCTCCAGCATGTCACCAGGAGCCCTCAAGGGGAGAAGCATAAATCCCAACCTAAGTCAAACGTCTTGTATCGATACCTTCGCCCCTAAAGATGATGCCTATCATCCTCACTCCACATCTGACCGATCTCAACCTTCAAAAAGAATAGAGTTGAGGAAACGTGATAATGCGATCAACTACGAGATTCCTGCTCTAGATGCTGAGCACTGGCCAATCGGTCCACGCTCTCACACCATCAGTTCAAAGAAGGAATCTGCTCCTCGAGTCCAACCTGTACATCCCGTCCCTGCCCACTCATCTCCACCAAAGACAAGTAGTCCTCTGACACCTGTGGAATCACAAGATTCTCTGTGGAGTTTGAACCCTTCTCCCGAACACCCACGACCTCAGGCGCCCCCCGAACCTCTCACAATATCGGAATCCATGTTCGCCGAGTGTCACGAACTACGTCGCGACACCTCGATTACTCCACCAACAATGACCCTCCTTTGGCCATCAAAACCCCATCACGCCTTAACCTCTTTACTCTACACGTAACTCAGGACTTCTGACACCAAGTACGGCGAAGTTAGACGGAGTTAGGCTAAGTAGGAACAATGGGAGCAGAAGTACGGCGAAGTTAGACGGAGTTAGGCTAAGTAGGGACAATGGGAGCAGAAGTGCGGCGATGTTAGGCGGAGTTAGTCTAAGTAGGGACAATGGGAGCAGAAGTACGGCGAAGTTAGACGGAGTTAGGCTAAGTAGGGACAATGGGAGCAGAAGTGCGGCGATGTTAGGCGGAATTAGTCGAAGGAGGAAGAGGATGGCCGAGGGCTCGGGGAAGTTGGACGAAGTGCGTTGAAGTACGTCAAAGCGCGAGAGGGTTGGATGAACGTCTAGGAGGAGTAGATAATATTAGCTGAGAAGATCGCTGAAGTTCTTCAGCGATCCTTGATTGTTGTCAGTAGAGAAAGACAGATAGAGATAGCTATATACAATTCGAGATACATCGCCATCAGTAGAACAAAACCCCAGTTAGAGTAACTACGCCGAAGTACGCCGTAGTTACACTCCTTTCGACGTCTGCGCCCTCTCGGTTGGGTGAGACTTCAACTCAGGAGCATCAAGTTAGCCGAGGTTCGTCGACCGTCGGTCTGCCAGAAGATAGTTGTTCGACGGCCGTGACACCGAGCATGAAAAGGACAGACAGGAGCCAGCATCCGACGAACCTGAAGAACCTGTTGAAGAGTCCGATATTGTAAGTCGTCATTGTCCTCGTCTGTCGACCTACTGATGCGCAGTTGGATGAGTTTGCAGAATTCAACTTTGCCGCTTCACAACATTCCCAACATTAGCAACCAAATACACCGTCCAAGTCTATCATCAACACTTTTACCACTCCCAGATCCACTCGTAAACATTCGGTGCCCCTTTCTTCCTCACGCAAACACCCTGCCAGGGCTTCTTCTCATCCTGCTCTTAAAACCCCAGTTAGAGTAACCACGGCGAAGTACGCCGTAGTTACACCCCTTTCGACGCCTGCGCCCTCCCGGTTGGGTGAGACATCGATCAAGAAGGATCAAGTTAGCCGAGGTTCGTCGACCGTTGGTCTATTAGGAAGTAGTTGCTCGACGGGCGTGACATACACCTACATTGAGATACATCGCCAGTAGAGAAAACCCCCAGATAGAGTAACTACGCCGAAGTTCGCCGTAGTTACACTCCTTTCGACCTCTGCGCCCTCCTGTTTGGGTGAGACCTCGCCACCGAAGAGACAAGTTAGCCGAGGTTTGTCGACCGTCGGTCTATAGAGAGAAGTGTACAACGGCCGTGACACTTCTGACAGCGTAGGTTCCAGCTCTGCAACTATACGCTTGATAGTCTCGTAAGAACGGTTGTAATCGTGCATATATATATATATACAATTTGTATGAATCCCCCCAGCCGCCGGATTATGATCCATACAAACCTAGGATCTCTCGTCTTGAAGGGGAGGAGGACCAGGGATTTTTTGGTCAATGTCCACGCCCTTCCTGGTTTTGTATTGCCCCAGCCGGTCGAGCCAAAAGTGATTTGAGAATGCATACACTTGTCAATGGTTTGACTTTTGTGAGATATTCTACCTTTTTTCCAATCTCTTCCACATCTCTCTCCTCTTACAGACCCTCAGCTCTGTGGCCAAAACCGGTCTACCTCTCTCCCCATCAAACATTGTTACTACTCGTTCCCACCAGGTCCTTGAACGCACGGGATGTTCAAACGAGAACAAATTTGTTTACGAATCTCATCACGTCCACCTTTGTTGACATTCATTCTCCCATTCACATACCTAACCTTCACCCAAAATGGAGGCCGCCATGGCATATAAACAGGTTGATCCCTCTCTAAGAGCTTGTGAGAAGTTGCAAATCAATTTGGTATTTTCCCATGTCACTCTTCATGACCGATTGAATGAAAACCAACCTTCCCCTCTGGTATCCGTACCCATCATCGTTTCTCCATAATTCAAGAACAAGTTGTTTTGGAAAAGATAAACCAATATGCAGCCAGGGTTACTCTTCTCACTCCCAAACATGTCTGTCACTTTGCATCATCCCTCTCCTCTGCCTTGAGATCCTCGGTGTAAATTTGGACCTCAAACTTTTCTCAATCGTTATTGGGATCCTGTCTCCTCCAAGTTCTATCGAGTTCAGGAGGTTGTGAGGATCCGGGGTAAAACACAATATCAAACGATGATTGCATTCCTGTCTCTAGTAAATCTCAATCATCTCTGCAATTCCTTGACAAATGCTAAGCTTCTTTAGGTCAAAGAAACCTTTGAAGCTGGTAATTTCTGACCAGAAAACATCTACAATGTTGATGCAATTGGGGTTTGACCTCGCCAGATCTTGCAAACCATGTCGTGTTGCTCTCCAAGATGCTCCCATCAAATCCCAAGCAGCTTTGCCCAATGCTATTCACATCACTGTCATTGCAACAATCTCAACCTCTGACACACCTGTCCCTCACTTTATCATCTACCCAGGAATGGTTCTCAGAGATGGCTGAAGGAGTGCTTTGACCCATCTACTCGTGATCGGGCAGAAAGACAACCTCGGCTCCTTATACTTGATGGTCATGAAACCTATACCGATATTGACTTTCTAGACGCTCGCTGGGAGAAAAAAACATTCTATGGCGGGCCCGTCCGGACGCGGACGGACGCATCAGCTAAAATTTGCCACCGCGCGGACGGGGTCCGTCCGGCCAAAACTGCCACTTTGGGCAACCATCCCGCGCCTCAGAGATTGAATCCTAATGCATCCGCCTGCAATTCCTAATGCCATTAGAAAGGCTATGTCGTATAACTGCAGTTATACTCTTAAACAGAGCCAATTATACCTTAGTTATACGACATGAGCTTTCTAATGCATTAGTAGTTGTCTCATTGCCAGAAGAATTGCACTTTGAGCCGTTTTAACTCTCTTCATCATCTTCATACTCATCGTTGTTTTTAATAGTTTATTAACTCTTTTATATACACCAATATGCCTCGTCATGCCAAACAAAACCCAAACTTGACTACAAGCACTCCATATGTTACGCCTCAAGCCAGGAACGCTGTTGATGGAACGGTTGATTTGGAACAATATAATTTGTCCGCAAACAGCATCAAACAGTACAAAAGCCGACAAAAAAAGTGGTTTTCATGGGTAAAAAGCAAGCCGTGGCTAACAGAGTGAGTAAAGGACCCACTTCTGCCAACTTCTGCCAACTTCTGCTCATTTTTGCTCGCTTTTGCTCGCTTTTGCTCATTATTGCTAAAGTTAGCATAATTTGTGACGCTCGTGCGTGATGTGCAAAGGAAGGGTGTTTTTGAGTCATCAATAACTGTGTGCTAACGTATAGAGCTACTGTTACCCCGCAATTGGCTTTATTGTTTTTATATGAAGTTATTTTGACGGCTCCAAAGCAAAAAAACTCCAAAAGCTTAGCGATAGCTGAGGAAGAAGACGATACGTTTGAAGATGTAGATATGAGCAGTATTGATAATACTTTGGCGGAAGATCCTTCTCAATACTCTGACGAAACGGAACAACAGCGTCTGGTACAAACGCAGGCCGAAATAGACCACCTCTTGCTGTCAAGACCAGGCCCTTCTTCAAGTGATCGTGGTCGTGCAAAATCCAGTAAGCTTTTGATTCAATTTTCAGTATTGCCGCTCATTATACAAGCTCTCACTATCATTTTGGAATGTCAGCTAAGTTGGTCAACGGTGCATGGCTGGGTAGCAGCACTTGTGAATCTTTGGGAACAGCAGGTCAAAAGAGGAATCAACAATTTTACATGGCCTCGAAGCGTTCACACGGCTACTATCATCTCTGTTTTACAAAAATTCACAGAAAGAAGGAAAAAGTTGCTTTTTGAGGACAAAGGCAGACGTAAGTGAACAAACATTAGCAACACCTGACAGATAGAGCTGTTTTATGATGGTTACAAAGATACCAAGCAACTAGCCAGCTCGTTTGCACATTACATGGAGCGAAATAACGAGGAAGGGCTCCGAGATGCCCTTGCGCAAGCCCTTGGTGTATATGGAATACTTCGAAGCGATAACCAACGTCGAATGCTTCTATCAGACCTTTCCTCAGAAATCGCGCTTAATGAAGGTCCAACAGCGTGTTTGCTAGTTGTTCTTGTCTTACATTCAAGTAAAACAAACGCATCTGGCAAGGCAGAGGATGCTGCGTTTATTCGGAACAAAGATTTGAGTGTATGTCCTGTCTTTCTGCTAAGTTTGTATCTGTTTGCTCGGTATGTGTCAATTCAAATACATAAGAGACTTTGGACTAATAAATAGCTTTTATTGTGGCCCTTCTCCTAGTGGATTTCCAAATCTTGCTACTCGTGCAAACTGGTACGATCTTCCGCTTTTAAGCAACGCCAAGAACAGATTGAAAGAGGTGTCATATGACACTCAAAGAAGAGCAATCAATGAAGCGCTTAAAGCTGCAGATGTACATACCTATCAAAAAACGCACGTTAATAGATGACTAGGCGCACGTCTTGCCGAACAAGGAGGTGCTTCTCCGGATGAAATTGCTCGAGCTGGTCATTGGGCGCATTCGGTTCTTGAAATTCACTATCTTACACATATCCCTCGTAAAACTTTACGAGCTCTTGCTGGTTTCCCTGTAGAAGGGAAAGGATTTTTCTTACCACGCGCTGTTACTCCTTCTTCTACTCTTTTAAGGAAAGTTTTTCCCGATGTAGATAAATGGTAAGCTGTCTTGTTTATAAAGAATGTAATTAACTTATTTAGGACGGCTTTGCTGAACTCTCCTATCCATCAGCAGCAGGAGTTAACAGGCCGAATGTTTTTGCAGACAATAGCGTCTTTACGAGAAGTGTTTCTTCAAGATATTCCTCACTGGCGAAAACTCTTTCCTTCGTTATATATTTTCAACCATCCACTCTTTGCCGATGAAGAGTACAAACGTTTTGAAGGAGAAGCACTTACACGTACAATCAGTAATGAGCAGAGATATGATGACCGGATAGCTCAAGCTCTTCCAATCTTGCATGAACTTTTGCAAACTCAAACTCGAGCTCACCAACAATCATTCCAAGACATACTTTCGAATGTTCTTCAGCTAAATCAAAGTCAAATTCAAAATCAAGAACAAATAAAAGCTGTGTCCGACGGTATTACGCTCATTCAAACTGCTCTTAGTCGACCCGTCATCATTCCTGGCCCTTTACAGTCTTTGCTTAGCGATATGACCAGAGATTTATCAAATATGGACGTCCAACAATCATCCTCTTCATCATCGTCTTTGTCTGCACCAGTGTACTCAGTACCACCCTCGTCAGCAACGTTTCCTTCTTCTTCCAACAGTCTTGACTCCTCTTCTTTCATTCAACTCACACCATTTACCATGAGTCGTTCTGTGTGTACGGTCCAGGAATTATGGCAAGAATACACCATTGGTCTTAATGGACGCCCATCTGTTCAGTCTCGATACGAAAACGGTGCTCATGGACTAAAGGATGCTGGTGAAACAGAAAAAAGGTTTTACCGAAGACGAATGGGCGTCATTAAAGCTGTTAAAGAGTTAATGAAATCAAGGGAAATCACAGGAAGCGAAGCAGCAAAACTTTTAGATGTTCATAGACAAAGCTTAAAAAATCCGTCGTTAGATGCGTTACAAAACTGGTTAAGTAAGGCCTCAGCTATAGATATGCTATCTATGTAGAAATTAGAGTAAGTATGCAATATGTAGCAGGTTTCGTCTTTTGTCCGCTTATTTTTGCTGATTCCTGCTCACTTTTGCTCATTTCTGCTCGCTTTTGCTTATTTAAAGGGACTTTGTTAAACCCTGGCTCGTTTTTATTGAGGCGTAGTAAAACATCAAAGGATTGGTTCATAATTTTGTAAAAGTGTGGGAATAAGTACGCCCCTGCTTGATTGGGCCTGTCTCAGACACGGCGTTTGAAAATCGTTTCCTGGAAGCGAGCTTGAGGCAATTCAGGTAATTAGCTGTTCGCTTAACATGAAACGCAAAATTGTTGTCTGTAGTGAGGGTAACCCCTCCTTTGGTTGTCAAGATGTTGATTAAGAGGTTTTTCACCGTTGTCACATATACCAATGGTCTGCTGCTGTTTCTTCCCCACATCTCATCATTTTCAACTGTTTTCACGGCTTGATACTTACAATTTTGAATGCCTAACGTGAGACGTAGTCTTAGTACCTCATACATCGTCAGTAGACCCAACAATAGCTCCCACAGTTGCCAAAGAGCTCAAAGTATGACACGCTCGCCTTCGAACCAGCCTAAGACTCCTCGTGGTATGCCAATGAAGTTTGGAGATACAGTTGTTGGTTAGTTACGTTAGTATTTTGTTGGTTAAGCTTATATGATGTAGAATTTGACGCACAATATACGTGGGACGTAATTGTTGGCTTATCCTTGCGAAAGTGGCCAAATTCCAACGTAGATTCGGTCGTTAGAATCCCAGATGACAAGAAAAGTTCGAAGGTAGCTATTTTGCCCAATGAATCGTCGAAAGTTAGTCCTTTATGTTGTTTTCATAAGTAAAGTTTTGGATCTAACATATGTAGCTAAAAAACCATCGAGAGGCGTTTAATCACGCCGTTAGCCCTAATGTCTGGCGAAGAACTGGTTCTTTGTCCTGCTCTCAGTGTCAAGGCCGTCAAAATCGCTCCAATTCGTGTGCTTTTGGATGTTTGACCGTTGGTGAGATACCTACTGGTGCGTGCTGCGAGTGTGTGGCACTTGGTACGTCAACACGATGTGATTTTGTTAGTAAGGCGGAGATCAAAGTGGACGAGCGAGCGTTCCTTGGTTCACTTCGTGAAGAGCTAGGTTCAATTAAAGCGGTTGAAAATCAGGCTAAGCTAGCTGGTAAGTCTGTTATCTATCATTTACGAGCTTAATCTGACAGACTAGCACAAGGTGGATACAATCTCGAAGCTAAGGGTATTGCTGGACAATTAGAGATCATTAGAACACGAATTTCAGATCTAATTGCAACACAAGCCCAAGAACTCGCTCCCGATGACGCCTCTGTGTTAGAAACTCCTCGAAAACGTATGAGGAAGTCAACTCAGGCTGAAGCTAGCCCCTTCTAGTGGTTAGTAGTGTTTGTATGCAAGCTATGGTTAGTGTTGGCAGAAACGAGCAAGAATGAGCAGAATAGAGCAAGAGTAAGCAGATGTTAAGACGCGATTTCACTGCGAACGATCGACACCATGAGTCACAATTTCGCTGCGTCAGTTATCGACATGATACCCGGACGGGACCTAGGACCCCCGTCCGGACTGACTCAGGGTTCATGTCGTATAACAATTCATTTTCCAAGATGTATGCCACACCACATAACCCACCTACTAGAAACTTGAAACTCTACTACCCCTTCACCCTCTTAACACATCTATCCATCCATCATGCCGCTTTGCTCAACCTGCAATACAGCCTATCCCAAACTCACAGAGAAGCTCTGCGGGCTCTTTGAGACAGTCTCAGAATGGGCCAAAGTAGGTGCCTGAAGTGGACTGACAGCCCTGAGATCCCTCAGTCACGAGTGGTAACACGTACCTGGGCTGATTCAAATTTCAATAGTACATGGATTACGAAATCAATTAGAATCGACACGGCTGAACGTACAGGGTTGATTCCTTTTGAGACAGTCTCAGAATGGGCCAAAATAGGTGCCTGAAGTGGAGTGACAGCCCTGAGATCCCTCAGTCACGAGTGGTAACGCGTACCTGGTCTTATTCAAATTTCAATAGTACATGGATTACGAAATCAATTAGAATAAATAATCAGATCCAGGCTGCTCCAGCTGAGACCCTATCTATGGCTGCTACTGCGTAGTGACAGCTCGCCCGAAGTTTTCAGGTGCGTGATCAAGGGTCTAGCTGTGACGGGACTTCCGGGCGCATGGTGAGGTAGACAAGCGAAAGAATGACAAACATGTATCCGTGTCCTGGACTTCAAGGGCTACTGACATTCGTTTTACCTTCATACATCCACAGTTTCTCACTCTTTTCTCTTCCAGTACTTCTTCAAATCCTCACCGTCCGTCCATTGACCACAGTACCTACAACGTTGTCATGTCCGCCTCGCCATCATCGTCCGTCATCGAACCTTTACCCGATGATATCGAACCGTCTGACCAATCTCTTCGGTGGGCTGACGAGATCGAATCAGACCTCACCAAGATTACCGGTCCTTACGGTCTCGAATGGCTCACTTCCCGCAAAAACGATCTTATATACGCCAACAAAGAAAGCATCGTGAAGCATTGTGAAAAGTATGGTGGTGATCTTCAACGCCCATCCCATGTCCCAGACCGATTCTTTCCCTCTTCCGCCGCTCATTACGGTCTAACGCAATACATTTTAAGCCGCTCAGAGTCAAAGAAGATAGCAGGCACGGTTAAGAACTTTGTCTGCAATCGAAGTCACAAACGGTCCCGTAAACGGACATGTGAAGGCTGCAAGTATCGCATCCCCGCTTTTTTCTATGTGCCATGAGTGACTCACTCCCAAGCTGGGGGCTTATCCTGACAGACAGGGCCGTCAGAGCTCTATACCCGAAATGGAAGTGCTCTTATGCAACAGAGAGAGATATGCCAACTCTGGCTTTCAGTTGGTCAGACTTGGGACGGTGCAACAGGTGTTGGGTTTGTCGTCGAGCTGGACATGATGGTTGCAGTTTAAGCCGAATCCCACTCAAAGAGTCCGAGTCCGAGTACGCTGGACCTCAGAACCCAATTGAAACAAGGATGGTCACACCCGAAGATGTTATGAATAAACGTCAACGCCGTAACCCTCCACGAGCCCCACCTCCTGACTATCGTCTCAATCACACGCTCTCGTCGGACGATGAGTCCGATTTTGAAGGGCCCTTCACACCTGATGATCTATTCGACAGCCTCGCCACGAATATCCAAGCCGCTCGTGGCAGATACGAAGACATGCGGACCGCTCATCTGGATGCCGAACGCCTCATTGCAACTTTGAAGGCAGAAAACGAAGCGTTATGTCATGGATTAGAAGACAGGCTTAGTAGATGATTGTAACGGTACTGGAAACACGACGACTAGGTCGCAGGTTGGGTCGAACTCGATGGAGGTCTCGTGGAAATCTAGGGGCTCTGGTGCTAATGGATCGTGTCTCCTCTGCAATCGATGTAGCCAAAGAATGATATTGAAGAATCAGCAAAGTTGGTACTTTGCTGATTGTACTATATACTGTCTACAGGTATCCGTGTCCTCCTCTCAGTTCCTACTGCAAGCGTCTATGTACATACTCGGACAGGTGAAAAACCGCTTTTGAGCAAACCCAGTGGGGAAATCTCGAAAAGGGAAAACCCGTCCCTACCTACTGCAGCACTGCCTCCAACTCCCGCCGTTCTCCTTCCTAATCCGTCGAACTCGATGGAGTTCTCTCGATTCGTTGTTACTCCGTAACAAGTTTCCCCCCCTGTCTCAAGGATCCTCGCCGAGGATCCTGAATTCTGTAACTAGGTGATTCAGATGGATTGCTCTGAGACACCTTTGGTGCGCCCTGACGTCACACCCACGCTAGTGTGACGGTTGCCATGAAACACGTCACCCGCACGGACCTCCAATGTGACCGAGAAATTACTGACCAAGTCTCTTTCTGTCTCTCTCTTCTTCTTTCCTCCTCATTCCTTCTTTTCCTCTTGTTCGTCGTTCTTTTCACTTATCTACCATTATCCATCCATATCTTACCTATATCTTAGCGCATCCTTCCAACTCTGACCTGTCTGTGAGCATGTCTAAGCGTACTGTAAGCAATTCTCTTCGAATTCGATGCACTTCCTCCTGTTTATCACTGGCTGACGAGATTAGTTGTCCTCGTCTATCTCTTCTCGTCAAACTCGGGCCTCTACTACGGCAATCCTACCTGACGTCGACCCCGAGCTTCTCATGCGTCAAACGAAAAGAATGAGAATTACTTCCCAAGCGCCAGTTCCCTCTCAAACTCCATTGGTTGACGCTTCTCGAAGGGCTCTCGACACCATTAAGGATCGATATCAATCCGGCCCTTCTCGCGACCAACAATCGTCTCTTCTCGATGACGAGGTCATCGAGCAATATATCGACTTCGAAGGGGGGGCAGGGCCATCTGCCACTGGTGAGAACCCATCTCCTGCGAAATCTGTCGAGTCCGAACACGGTACCATCGTTGAAAATCAAAATTCTCCTGGTAATAAGTCCCCTGTGCCACCTTCTGATTATTCCGAGGGGCTTGTCGAGGTTCCCCATGAACTCGAAACCATTTTTCACGCCCCTCGCAAGGTTCCGGTCAATGATGAACTTGCTAAGGCTCTGGATGCTCGAAAAGACTCGGAAATTGGTGAGATTTCTACAGAATTCTGTGCGTTTCTGACTCGTCAGCTACCCTCTGGGCCCGCCTTTCTTTCTCCTCTGTTCGTCACGCTCTGAAGGATGAAGCCCTCGATCGCTTTCGCGAGACTGGGGCCATCAAGCCCACTGTCAAGTGGTTTGGTAACGCCGTGAGCTTTTTCTCCTTCGTATTCCACCAAATTCTAACTGTTAGCTTGATCGCTTGGCCCAAGGTTGGCGACTTCGTAACAAGAATGGCGCTGTTGTCCGTCTCGAGGGTGAGCTTTGCTCCGATTGCCAGCGTCGTCTCGATGGTGGAGAAGATTTTCGTGTAGGTTGTATCGGTCCTCGTGAGTCTTCCTACTCTTCCTGTTCGATATTGATGCAACTTAGTTGGTGGTGTTTGTGGAGAGTGCTCCGCGAAGGGAACTTCAAAGTGTTCGGTGAAAACCAACAATCCCGAGTCCAAATTTCGCGAGGTATCTATCTTCTTCCTTCGAACTTGGTCGATGTTGATGTAAAGGGTATTACTGTCGGAGCCCAGACTGTTACTTCCAAGGTTACCTTCGTCCTGGAGCACGAACTCTGTGCTGTCTCGGCCCGATATCGATCCCTTTCCTCCCAGGATCAATCCTCTTCCCTTACTCAACTCTCCGCTTACATCCATCTTTTCTCTTCTCTTCTCCTTCCTCTTCCCCCAGTACATCTGGGTCTTTACAAATCCCTCCATCTCATTCCTTCCGACTATGTTCCTCCTTCTCCCTCTGAAACCTTGGATCATCTCACCTCCGCTGGCGATCCTACTGGATTGAGTTCCTCTCAGCCAGTCACCGGTCCCTCCTCTTCTCCCCAAACTCCTCTCCCCCGCAATGTCATTCGTATCCCTGCTTCGGCCCGTCGTCCTCGAGCCAATTCTACCGCCTCCAACTTTTAGCGTGTTTATATCTCTCTAATTGTAGCTATATTTCCTGTGTATGCACTTATTTCCACTAAATTCCGTTGATCTTGATCGAGTTCTCACCTTCTTCTGGGGTCTTTTTTCCTCTTTTCCAGAAATTCACCAAAAACGGCCAACTCTTCTACATTTTCTCGTGGTTCCCAGTCATAGGCCGCATTCCCTGTGTATCCTAACCATTTCACCTTGAATTCCTCCTTTCCTCGTCGAATTCTACTGTCCACAATTGCTTCCACATGGAATTCCTCCTGGCCGTTTATTACTACAGGTGGTGGGGGTTGTATCTGTCGACCTGGTATCATGTCTCTAGGATATGGTTCCAACAACGTGACATTGAAGACATTGTGCACTCTCATTGATGGAGGTAGATCTAATTCGAAAGCATTTTTCCCCACTCTCCTTATGATCTTGAAGGGGCCAACGTATTTTGCTTCTAATTTTCGACTGGGTCTTTCCGTCGTAAGATACTTCGTACTCAGTAGTACCTGTTCTCCCTCTCTGAATTCTTCTGGTATACTCTTGTGTCTCCTGTTGTAGTATTCGGCACTAATCTCATTAGCCATCCTGACCTGTTCTTGAACAGCCGCATGTAACTCTCCCATATCTCTCCATTTCCTCTCCAACTTGTTTGACTTTGATCGAATATCGTGCGAATGGATGTCGTAGTGTGGCACATAGCCGTAACAGGCTTCAAAGGGACACAGACCGTGGCTACTATGTGGCGAACAGTTATAAGCGAACTCAGCAATTGGTAGAAGTTGATCCCAATTGTCCATGTTGTAGTTTACATACATTCCGAGCAGGATTTCCATCTGTTGATTTACTCGCTCAGTTTGTCCATCTGTTTGAGGGTGATACGCAGTCGAGTATAAGTTTTTTATTCCCAGGAACTGACATATTTCCTTCCAAATTTCCGCTGTAAACTGAGTTCCCCTATCTGATACGATTGTTCGAGGTACTCCATGTTTTGAAAAGATCTCCTTGATGTAGATGTCGGCCACTTTGTTCGCTGTTAGTCCAGTTGTACATGGAATAAATCTAGCCATCTTGGTTAGTCGATCGACTATCACTAGTATCGCGTCAAACTCGGTCGATTTTGGTAGGGGTCCCACCATATCCATAGAGATATCTGTCCACGGGAGTGTGGGTACTGGTAAAGAGACTAGATGTCCATACGGTTGATGTCGATGAGTCTTATGTCGGTTACAGATCTCACATCCTTTTACGTATTTTGCGATATAATCGTCCAAATGGGGCCAATAATAGTCCTCTTTGATCATAGTGATGGTTTTGTCTCTTCCTGGGTGTCCTTGTCACGGCCGTCGAACAACTATTTCTTAATAGACCGACGGTCGACGAACCTCGGCTAACTTCACGCTCTGAGTCGATGTCTCACCCAACCAGGAGGGCGCAGACGTCGAAAGGGGTGTAACTACGGCGTACTTCGGCGTAGTTACTCTAACTAGGGTTTTGTTCTACTGATGGCGATGTATCTTGATTTATAGCTATCTCTATCTGTCTTTCACTACTGACAACAATCAAGGATCGCTGAAGAACTTCAGCGATCTTCTCAGCTAATATTATCTACTCCTCCTAGACGTTCATCCAACCCTCTCGCGCTTTGACGTACTTCAACGCACTTCGTCCAACTTCCCCGAGCCCTCGGCCATCCTCTTCCTCCTTCGACTAACTCCGCCTAACATCGCCGCACTTCTGCTCCCATTGTCCCTACTTAGCCTAACTCCGTCTAACTTCGCCGTACTTCTGCTCCCATTGTCCCTACTTAGACTAACTCCGCCTAACATCGCCGCACTTCTGCTCCCATTGTCCCTACTTAGCCTAACTCCGTCTAACTTCGCCGTACTTCTGCTCCCATTGTTCCTACTTAGCCTAACTCCGTCTAACTTCGCCGTACTTGGTGTCAGAAGTCCTGAGTTACGTGTAGAGTAAAAAGGTTAAGGCGTGATGGGGTTTTGATGGCCAAAGGAGGGTCATTGTTGGTGGAGTAATCGAGGTGTCGCGACGTAGTTCGTGACAGTCGCCCCCTTCTTTAGCCGCAAACGTCCTCGTGAGCGATTACACCTCTGTCGTGTCAAGAGAGCTTAGCAGCGTAGTACCCCATTCTCTCCCTCCCCATGACCATCCTTCACCCTTCTGCTCTTTGCGCCGCACTTCGTAGTTGGGCCTCCTTTCACTCCAAAACCCGACAATGAGACTCCCCTAACTTCGTCGAGGTTTGCCGTAAGAAGCCCTGTGTCTTTTGTAGGTGAGACACGCTTCCTGAATGGCAGCCGAACAACACCGTTGTTTGTCGAAGTAACCCTCGCTTATATTGAGATGAGACACTATAGCGTGGGAATTTTGATCGTCCCTGCGATGCCTTTTGTTGATGAAACGCGAAGTTTGCTGCATGTTGACGACGAGGGTTTAGGTTTGATTATACTAAATACTGAGCAGTTCGTCGAGCTTCTCTCTTTTTCCCATCTGCTTTCAAAACTTTCTATCTCTCTTACCTAGAAAACAGATTTGTTACCTTGAATCATCGCCTCAAGTTTTATTCTCTTTTAAATATCTTAACGTCATGGCCCCTACCTCTAACCCTTTCGCCGCCATGAGGAACTTTGGTGGTATGGTGTCGTCTGCTCGTGAGTTATTCCTCGACACTTACCTTACTTCGCCGGACTTGGCTGATGTTCAGTTTCCTTCGGCGACAGATCTCGTCAAGTCTCCTCCCTCGGCCTCGGCACCCTCTCTTTGGGGGAGCCGTCTGGCGATGTCCCGCCTCCTCGCTCCGCTTCTCCTCCCGCCGGTCCTCCCGCTGGTTCTCCCTCTGCTTCTCCTCCTCCTGGTCCTCGCTCTGCTTCCCCTCCTGCCGCCAGCCCTCGCCGCAGGACGCCCGCCTTTCGTCCTGGTGAGTCTCCGTCCTCCTCCGACCAGGAGTCGCCCAGTGGTTCGGAGTCGGACGATCAGTCAGACTTCGAAGGAAAAGGGGGTGATTATAGTGATGAGGATGATAGAATCGTGTCGGAGGGTGAAACCGAGTTAGAGGAACACTCGGATGATGATATGGTGGCGGTTAGTGTAGAGGACAACAACGTAGATAGTCCTGAGCGTGAGTTCTTCGTCCAACCTCTCACACCTTCGCCGAACTTGGCCTTGTTTATCTGTTCTTTAGCTCTCCAAGACATTGCTAACTCGCAGCCGCTCCTGCCCCTCCCCCTGCTCAAATTGTGGGCCAGAAACGACGCCGTTCCCTCTCCTCTTCTTCTTCTTCCTCTTCTTCTTCTTCCTCTTCTTCTTCCTCTTCCGGGGTTCTCCCCCCCCCCAACGCCATCGCCGCTGCCGCCGCTGCCGCTCCTGCTGCCGCCGCCGGTCCTGCTCCCGCCGCCCCCGTCGCTGCTCCCCCCCCTTCTCCCAGAGGGGAGCCTTCGCCCAAACGGGTGAAGAGATCACTGCGGGAAGAAGAGTACTTGTGGGAGAAGATGAAGTCCGAGCCTGGTCGTTGGATCGCGGTTGGTGTTGACGAAGCGTGTGATCGTTGCCGGTGAGTCCACCTATTCGTACTACGCCGAAGTTACTCCTGCTAATTAGTAGACGTGAGATTATCACGTATAATCGTCCAAACTGGCCCTGCCTCAAGGCAGTCAGGCCACACAACAAGGCCCTCCGTTGTGCTTCATGCACGTCTGGCCCCTGCTCCTTCTGTCCCGTTTCCTCTGCCCGGGACATCCCGCCCCGTCCCTTCGACGCTTCTCCTCTCCCCCCTCCCCAGACTCCAGCGTCTGTCCCCCGTTCGCGGGTACCGTCTTCGTCTCTCCGGTCGGTTCGCCGTACTTCGCCGGACCTCCGCCCGTCGCCTCCGTCGCCGTCGCCCTTCGCTCCTGTGGCCGGCCCATCACGTCTCCCGGCTGTTCCTCCTTCGTCTTCTCGCCGTCCTTCGGCCTCTGCTCCTTCGGCCTCCCGTCCTTCGGCCTCTCGTCCTTCGGCGCCACGTCCGTCCTCTCCAGTGGTAGCTTCTCCTCCGGCTCACAGCACCCGAAGTCGGCGTCCTTCTGTTCCTCCGGCCTCTTCGGCGGCCCCTCCCGTCACCCCTCCCTCTGCTTCCCAGAAGACACCGAAGTCTTCTTTAAAGAAATCAAAAGGGAAATCTAAAGAGAAGGAGGTTGCCTTCAATGATGGTGATGTGGAAAATGAAGATACTCAGCGTGCTGGTCCCTCTGCTCCCCGGTTGTCCCTCGTCCACCCTCGTATCTCCCTGGACGTCCGTATTCCTGAGGACGAAAAGGAATTCGCCACTTATCGTTCTCTCGTCCTCGGTCTCACTACTCAGCTTGAGGCCGCCCGAAATGATACATTGTCACGAACTACGTCGTGACACCTCGATTATTCCACCAACAATGACCCTCCTTTGACCATCAAAACCCCCATCACGCCTTAACCTCTTTACTCTACACGTAACTCAGGACTTCTGAGACCAAGTACGGCGAAGTTAGACGGAGTTAGGCTAGGTAGGGACAATGGGAGCAGAAGTACGGCGAAGTTAGACGGAGTTAGGCTAGGTAGGGACAATGGGAGCAGAAGTACGGCGAAGTTAGACGGAGTTAGGCTAGGTAGGGACAATGGGAGCAGAAGTACGGCGAAGTTAGACGGAGTTAGGCTAGGTAGGGACAATGGGAGCAGAAGTACGGCGAAGTTAGACGGAGTTAGGCTAAGTAGGGACAATGGGAGCAGAAGTGCGGCGATGTTAGGCGGAGTTAGTCGAAGGAGGAAGAGGATGGCCGAGGGCTCGGGGAAGTTGGACGAAGTGCGTTGAAGTACGTCAAAGCGCGAGAGGGTTGGATGAACGTCTAGGAGGAGTAGATAATATTAGCTGAGAAGATCGCTGAAGTTCTTCAGCGATCCTTGATTGTTGTCAGTAGTGAAAGACAGATAGAGATAGCTATAAATCAAGATACATCGCCATCAGTAGAACAAAACCCTAGTTAGAGTAACTACGCCGAAGTACGCCGTAGTTACACCCCTTTCGACGTCTGCGCCCTCCTGGTTGGGTGAGACATCGACTCAGAGCGTGAAGTTAGCCGAGGTTCGTCGACCGTCGGTCTATTAAGAAATAGTTGTTCGACGGCCGTGACATACATCTCTCCTGCTTGACTTCTCTTCTCGTCAAGCTAACGCTTTAAACAATCTTACTGCGGCGTTAGTAGATGTAGTCAACACTGGGGCTCTGGACGACGAAGCAAGGACAAGGTTAGCGGGCGTCTCTCGCCGAAGCCTTACTGAGATAGCCGATGTTCGCCGAAGACTGTTCGACACCCCCTTCCTAGTCACTCCTATGGCGTATGAGCCACCACCGTCCCTTGACTGGTTAGGTCGCCGTAGTAATTCTCGTGTCCCAGCTTCCGCCCAGACTGCTCTCGACCTCCTCAGTCTTCCCTTCGAGTGTCTACGGACCATACGTTCTCTGTGGAGGACCCCGAGCATGCAAGCTGCTCGAGATGTCCAGGACTTCGGTGACTTCTTTGGGGCTATGAATCGGGCATGGAATGCTTCTCTCTCTACTGCGTTCCCGTCTGAGACTCTCGATCTACCTTCGGTCATCGGTAGCCTCCACACCAATCCCGCGGGACCGAGTAGATCGAAGGAGAAAGGAAAAGGAAAAGGTAAGGGTAAGAGTAAGGACAAGTGAGCGGTACGTAGCTGTAATCCTATGTTGTATGCAGTACGTTCTATCTCCTAGCCCTTCGCAGTCGCCCTTCCTTCGGCTTAGTAGGGTGAAGTTCGTGGAACTTCGCCAATATGTCATCAGCTCCATCGACGTTCTCCACTGGTTCCCATGATACTGAATCGTCTGTTCCTTCGTAACCTAACCACTCCACCAAGTACTCTAACTTTCCTGACCTCTTATTTACTCTAGAGTCCACAATATCCTTTACCTCCCAAGACTCTCCCACATTGTCTACTTCTACTGGCCCAGGTGGCTCAGCTTGCTGACCAGGAAATATTGGAGGGTGATAAGGACGGAGCAAGGAGACATGGAATACATCATGGATACCTGCCATCGTTCCTGGTAATTCCAATTTACAAGCATGAGAACCTACCTGCCGTACTACCTTGTACGGCCCACTTTGCTTAACATCTAACTTCTTCATTGGTCTCTTCGTCTTAATATTCTCTAACGACAGCATCACTAGGTCTCCTTCCGCGAAGTTCGGCGTAGTCCGGTGTTTCCTATTGTATCCTTCGGCGTACTTCTCATTAGCTTTCTCAATTCCTTCGATACAATCTTTGTGTATTTCAGTCAAGTCTTTTACCACCACCGTAGCAGCGGGCACTTCGACCTCGCTAGCCTTTATCTCTTCAGCCCAACGAGGGTGATATCCATAGTTCGCATAGAATGGGGTTTTGTTTATCGCAGAGTGCTGGGTGTTGTTGTAAGCAAAGCTAGCTCGAGCGAGTAGCTTTGACCAGTCGTTCTGCTGATAGGAGGTGAAGATTCGAAGATACAGTTCCAAAGACTGGTTGGTTCGTTCGGTCTGTCCGTCAGTCTGTGGATGATATGCAGTAGAGAGATGTAGTCTTATTCCGAGACTATCGGTCAAATTCTTCCAGAACTTGGAGGTAAACTTCGATCCCCTGTCCGATACTATATTCTCTGGCAACCCATGCTGGGCCACCACATAGTCCAATATCAACTCTGATAGGCCGGCTGCGGTTAACTTCGTCGTAGTCGGGATAAAAATGGCCCATTTGGTCAACCGATCCACCACTACCAGGATGGAATTATATCCATGGGAATTTGGCAGCTCCTCGATAAAATCCATCGAGATGCTAGACCAAGGTTTCGTAGCTACCTCCAGTGGTTTAAGCTCCCCATGAGGTTTCTGCCTGTTAGTCTTCGCTCTCTGACATACCGCGCATCCAGCAACATAATCTTCGACATCCTTCCTTACTCCAACCCAGACATAATCCCTCAGGACTAGTTCAAGGGTCTTTGCCGAACCTGGATGACCGGCCAAGGCTGAGTCATGTCGCATCTTCATGATCTTCAGCCGAGCATCGGCGTAGTTCGGCACATAAATGCGATCGTCGAATGTGAGGAAACCTCTTGAGTTCCACCCCCCACGAAGGATTAGAGGAGACCGCGAACTACGGCGTAGTTCGGTGATTGATCCTGGTTCCTGCACGTTATCGTTACACGTAGGATGAGAACACTCAGCGCAAACGACTCCTAATAATTCTTCTCTGACCCCTTCTATGTCTTCGTCCTCCTGAACTCCAAGTACTAGATCCATAGGGTCCACAAGATCATTTTCCTTTACCTCCCTTGTCCCTTGCAATGCTCGAAGGAGGTGACGCAACTCCGACGTGGTGGCGTCAACTTCGTCGAACTTCGGCAGACCTTGGATAAGGTTGCTCTCTTGTACCATGGTACTTCCTTTCCCGGAATGATAGTCCGCCCGTCTAGATAATCCATCTGGAAGACTTGCCTGGGTTCCTGGCCGATAAACCATTTTAAACCTGAAGTTAGCTAGCTCCTCTACCCACCTACCTTGCCGAGGACTGAGTTGTTTCGGTTCCATCCAGTAGGTAAGGTTTAGATGGTCGGTAAGTACTGTGGTTTCCACCTGCAATAATAAGTGTCTCCTTCTTCTGAAACCCTCCACTACAGCGAGGAACTCCTTTTCTCCTACCGTATAATTCAGTTGAGCTGTGTTGAAAGCACCAGACTCAATAGCTACCGGGTGTTCTTGACCAGCCGTGTTGATCTGCGAAATTATGAACCCCCAGCCGAAGAACGACGCATCTGTCTGTAATATCGTCTTCAATGTAGGGTCAAAATGGGCTAATACCGGCGCAGTACACATCCTAGCCTTCAACTCTTTGAAGGCTGACTCCTGTTCGACTCCCCATACAAATGGTACCTCCTTCCTTGTCAAGTCATTGATAGGTCTAGCAATCTTCGAGAAGTTGGGGACAAAGCGCCTGTAATAGCTTACAACTCCAATGAATCCCCTTGACTCTCGTAGATTCTTAGGACGTGGGAAGGAAGTGATGGCATCAATGTATTCTGGGTTCACCGATACACCTTTAGAGGATACCACGAAACCCAGAAACACCACCGAATCTCTTTCGAACTCGCACTTACTAGCTTTCACGTACAGGCTCGCCTTCCGCAGTACCTCAAAGACCTTCGCCGTAGTTCCTCGTAATTCCTCCAACGTATTCCCATAAATGAGGATATCGTCAATGTAGACCACGACTCCATTCCCTAGTAGCTCTCTAAACACCTCATTTAGGAAGTGTTGGAAGACCGCGGGGGCGTTTCGCAGCCCATCACGAACAACCAGAGATTCAAACATACCATACTGTGTCCTGAACGCCGTCAGGTGTTCATGTCCCTCTGTCACCCTCAACAATTGGTATGCTCCAATTAGATCTAGTTTGCTGAAATACCTTGCTTTTCCAAGTTCTTCGGTAATTTGACCTATTAGAGGGAGAGGGTAGGCATCTGGTATGGTCGCTTCGTTCAGTTTTCGATAGTCGATGACCATTCGCCATTGTCCTTCGGCTTTCTTCGGTATCATAAACATTGGTGAGCCGTATGGCGAGTTACTTGCCCGAATTCGGCCAGCGGCGATTTCGCGATCTAGTATGTCTCTCAGCGCGCGTCTCTGATCTTCTCCTTGAGCATAGAGGGAGGCGACCTTAAGGTTCGCCCCCTCCTTAAGCTCAAACTTCAAATCGTAGGACCTTGAAGGGGGAAGGGTCTCTCCTCCCTTCTTCGGATTAAAAACGTCAATGTACTGGTGGTATTGTTCAGGAACTACCTGGAACAACTCGTCTTGTTCCTCCGGGCTCAGCTCTTCAAGCTCATCTTCGCCGCGGAGGTCTATCGCGTCCGTCAGAGTCGGCAGCCCTATGGCCGCTAACTTCGCCGCACTTGGTGGGGTTGGGATGGGAAATTTCACCGAGTTGTCTCTTCCATCAAGGACAATCCCTTCCTTCCTCATCCAATCCCACCCTATCACAACATCTGCGTCGCAGAGCGTTGTTACATCGAGACAAACAGATCGCACTTCGGCGTCCTTCGTCAAACTAAATCCGACTTCGACAAACTCGGTGATGGGTCCAGCGACACTCACCGAGCCGTCGAACATGTGAACGGGTACGCTCACCTGATATCGCCTCTTTTCTACACCTATCTTCGCTGCCGCCCTAGGGCTTATATATGAACAAGTAGCTCCAGTGTCCCAGAGCGTAGTTAGCTTTATTCCATTAATGAAAATGTCCGATTTAGGTTGATCTCTGGAAACGGAAGGGATGAGGAGATGATTATCGACATTGCATGAACAAGGGGTACTGAGTGGTGTATTT